GTGCATTATGTTGATTGATGCTCATTAATTAATACCTCTCACGATCGTGTTCCACCTTCCAAGATTGATATATAATATACTACTTGCAAGGCATTATGCTTAGGATAATAAGCGCTTATCGTGTGTTCTATGTTGCTTAATATACATGTTCAATAATTAGTTTAAAGTCTTGAGTCATGAGAGAATTAGGCTTCCTCATTATTTCCTCCAAGTGTCACATACTCACACTTATGAGGGTTTTGATACACTTGATGAGGACGGAGTTTGCACTGTTAACCTTCAGACCATATAAAGTTAAATGAGAATAACTTACATTGTGATGTTTTTGGGCAATCGATTGGTATCGACATATCACTTGCACTAGTCCCATTACTTCACGGTCATCATATAGTTGTGATGTTTTTGGGCAATCGATTGGTATCGACATATCACTTGCACTAGTCCCATTAACACCTAGAGATATACTTGTGAGGCTTTTTACCTTCAATCACCTGTCATCATATAGTTGAGCAAGCGGTCATCGCGGCCTTGGGTTTAACATAGTTTCACTTACACTCACATTGTGGTAATTAATAATGTCAAGCTTTGGATATGAATTGATTGTACCCAGATGTGCTCGTTGTATGAGATGGGTGCCAGAATTGAGAACGTGCATTATAAAAGCATCAAAACTTTGTCTTTGTATCCTATGAACAAAATTGATGAAGATTCTTTTATGGGAGGAACATTGTGCATTGGTTGGTGTACGTGTGCCTACTGGCTTTGTGATAGATCGACTTGCTTTGTGTTTCCTTGTATAGAAGCAAGCAGTGAGATAAATATTTCCCGAAGGTACTCCATGATGGTTGGAAGAATGAGGGGATTGTATATACACTATGCAGAATTTTATTGACCGAGTTCTCTTTGAATGACTGCCATTCTGATACTTAGCATAGAGTTGAAGATTTGCTCTCAAAGTACATGTATTCAGGCCTGAAGGGGGAACCTAGTAGCTATATGTTGGCATCACGAACATCAAGTAAAGTCCTTGAAACCTTTCCTTTACTGTTTCGGTTGGAGCTATTATGCATTGGTTATCTCTTCTATTCTCGATATGTACATGCTCTTTTCCTATCGAAAAATGCACTTCTTATGTAGCTGCTCGTCTCTAAGTGGTTTTTAGACCTTTATATGATTAGAAAAATTCTGCTCGGTCTCTAAACCTATTTGGATTACTCTTTAGGGTAATGATAGTGCTACAAGGATTGGTACCTAATGTTGTTGACTACAATCTTTATTATCTACTAGGTTGGTTACTGATGTCGCTTTGCTTATTAGTAATTGATCAATTTTACTGACACTTGTTAAAACATTTTGGAGGGAATCTAAGCGAATCTACCAATTGGCCCAAGTACTATACATCTGCCTGGTCTGAGATATCAAGCCGATTTCTCTTCTGTTTAGTACAGTCCAGATTGGTGACGGGTACAAATCAGATTGTGCGTCCATTACTTGATCGGCGGTCTAGCTGTCTAAGTAGCACAAACTGGAAGTGCTAACAGGTCATGGCTCTATTTCCTATGTAAGTTCCCTCTGGATGTCTCATCTTCCAAAATTCACTCACAACACTTGGACATGATAATCGTCGAGGGCATACATATTAATTAACATGTATTAGTGATCGTTACTTAAACAAATCATAGAGTAGTGCATAAGCAAATATAGACAAGACAAAAAGACAATTATGTGTTCTACACTCTACTATTGTCTTTATAGAAAATCAAGATGGTCTGGTTTCCAAAATTGCTAAGGGGATTGCTGTCCCATTTATACCTTATAATGCTCTAGGATTATGCTCCAATATTTTTCATTCCATTTCTCTAGAAACCCCTATTTGGGGTTCATTTGTTCTTCAATTTATTTATTTACTAATAGGTTAGGGTGATGGTTCACAAAGCCAGCACATATAGATCTTATAGCTACTGTATGGTTCATGAAGTTCTCGCATCTAGTTGGAGAACCAATAGGGATACCAAGTAGATGTTAGACGTAGTAAGTAGGCGATCGAAAGTATTGATACTGTTACTCCGGTGACTATTGTATTCTGAATATTTAGGGGGTTGATACTAGGCTTAAAGCATTAGAGGAATTAATCGTCATCCTTGTATTTAAGGATGAAATCTGGAGTGGGAAAAGTATGCCTCTTGGCGTGTCAAATATAGCTGGATCGTTTATGTATCAGCAATTCCATAGCTGCGAGACATAAAAAGGATAATTTCTGATGCTTCTACATCTTGAACATTCTGTTCTATGGCAGGAAGTCCTAGTTTTTTCTGTGCATAACTTCATCTTGAGGTTTCTGCTATTGATCTATGACAGCAATAACAATAACGGTTTTTTTGAGACACAGATCACTTCATTGATCAGGTTCTCTGAGATGAGCTAGAAACAAGAGCTGTGCTTGGCTAACTTCCTATGTTAGGGAATCCGATGGGGTTTCCATACCAGAGGTAAACAAAAGGCCTCCTGTTGATGATAAAAGTTTTTTATTCATCTGCTGGTAGAATATGATAAGTTGTAACACCAAATTCTTCTGTTGTTGGTTCCCTGATTTTACCTAGCTGATAAGATTGTCTAACTGGGTACATGGTTTTTGTTGTGGACGACAGGAATCAAGCCTCCACGACCCGACCTGACTCTAGTTGCAGAAACACTTGGCAGTTCGTCAATACCTACATACTAAATGAACAGAGTCTCCAGCTTGAATTCAATATCCAGCTGGTCCGAACAAAAGCGGAGAGGACAAGTTCTAGGGTTTTGACGCCAAAGTAATTTGCTCGATGGCAATACGATCAGACAGACGGTCACAGGACAGCAAGTGCGTGCATTCTAGAAGGAAACCTAACATTGAAATTCATTTTCTAGCTGTGTCTACATAGTTATCCAACTGCATATTTGAAGCAGTGTTGCATTGTAAACAACTGAAGCGACGATCAACTCGAAAGCAATTGAAATTCTAGAGCATAACAGCGGCAATATATTTAGTTCTGTATGCCGGAATTCAGGCCGGTAAGGGAGCTTACAAGGAAAGCCGGTTGTGCCCAACTCTTGAGGCTGAAGCGAGACAGTATGCAGCAATCAGCCTCCGTGGTCCGCAGCTGGTGCTCTTCTAAGATCGGAGCTCAGCTGGACCTCGGAGAATCGAATCAGATGTGGAAATCTGGAAGGATACGGTGGCGGCGGGAAGTGAAGGAGGATGTCTGTTTTTCCGTTTTTGGTTTGGTACTGTTTTCTCGTTTTTTAGGATATTTTGGGTTTGGAGAAGGGAACTGAAGGGGGAGAGTCCGTATGATTTGAAATATGTCGGTACTATTATTAGCTGAGGAAGAAGGTACAGACAGGCATAGAATATGTCAAATTTGTGTGTACTTTTTCAAAGTGTCCCATCTTTTTAAGCCCTAACTGCTTTATTCCGTGTGTTAATTATTGTCGTTAGTTCCCAAAGCAAGCGATCATTATCAGTCTGCTTGCGTTATCAATTAACCTACTTTTCTGTCCATGATTAATTATTAAATAAGCATTGGTCCTGGAGCTGGGCCGGCATGCCTAATTATTGACCATGTTTGGACCAATCAGTGGCCCACTGAAATTGAGGTTATCAGTGCATTCCTTTTTTCCTATATTAATTTATCTGGTTCTTTATCCTTTAATTTTTGGATAATAATTGTGTATAATTTTTCAGTCCCAACTCCTTAGTAGCTAGATAAGGCCACATTCGAGTGAGTGCATGCGGCTAGGGCTGTAGTTTGGTTTGGTTTTGTCATATGAAATAGTGAAGTCTTAGAAATCGAAACTTAAAATTTTCCTATTGGTTGACGGTTGTGGTTTCAATCTGAACAAACCGAAAACCAAATCTTCTCTCACTTACTATGGTTGTTGGTCGTAATATGATTTCGTTTTTGCCAGATCCTATCAATTTTCCTGTTCAACCAAAATTGGTAACAATAATTTTGCCGAAAGTTCTGTAATGAAAAAGCGAAATCTGTATGCTTCTAAATGATTCGAGTATACCACACCTTGTCAGGATGTAAATGGCAGCAATTCAGCAAGAAAAACTATTTTATGAAATGTGATCAGCAATTTGGCCTTTAGTAAGTTTGATTCAATTAGTAATGTTTTCTCCATAATTTTTAATTATATAATTTTACAAACTTTTTATTTTGTCTTCCTCAACAATTGCAAACTTTATTTGCAACAGAGAGTCAGAATAATGATTATGTTATTAGTGGTGGCTCTACATTCTTAACTTCTCAATTAACCTGTTTGTTAAGCTAAGCTATATAGGAGTATCTATAAATGGAGGAGTCTATATTTGGGGAAAAGTTAGCTCCATTGAAGTATCTATAAATGGAGGAGTCTCTATATTTGGGGGAGATCTGCAAAAGGATCCCCAAATTTGGGGATGACAATGGGGGATCCCCAAATATAGAGACTCCCCAAAGCCCACCACGTGGCTTTTCTTATTCTTTTTAAAATTTTAGAGGTTAATTGGGGTTTAATTAGGGGATAGTTAGGGATTTAATTAGATCAATCATTTTCAAGTGTTGTGTGTAAACACAAATTAGGTACGTAATTTTTCGCCAAAAAAATTCGGACTTGGAATTAACAAAATTCTTTCAGAAAATTTGTATTTAAAAATGATGACGAACTATACAAAAACTAACATGAACAAATTATATTAAGGCTTCGATAAGTACATTTTTAAGTAAATGGAAAAATGAAAAATCCCTAAATATGGAGATTGAAGCATTGGAGCAAAAAAAAGGAAAATAGGGATCAATCTCCAAATTTGGGGATGAAGGCCCCCAAATTTGGGGTTTTGCGTTGGACTTGACCTTAACCTTTCAAATAAAATACATATAGTTTCAGCGTATGCAAAGCATCGCCATGTTCAGCCCCCAGTTCGGTAGACACATTACAATACTACATAGCAGATGCTCATAGAAATCTCTTATTAATTACTATACACATTCGTAGCCGCTGCATTCTGCAGTCAGATTCTTCTTGCTTTGCGTTGATACAAGCGAATGCCCTTCCTTACATTTGGGCCATTTCACCAAGCCGTCGTTGTCTCTCTTCCTTAGACGCGAAGCCACCGACTTCAGACCACTCCTCATGTAAGCCAATATGGCTGCAGCAAGCTCTCTGCAGCAAGAAATGTTCAAATCAGCACCCTAGCTACCTCTATTGACTACACTTGGGGAGAAGACAGTGGAAAGAATAACAAAATAAGGAAAAAAATCGAGGCTGGTGACAGATTATGTAAGTGATAAGTTGGACTACAGCACCATCAAACATGCGTTTATGAAATCAAACAATAACATTTCTGTCTACCATGCAAACATTAAAGACTTAAAATGAATATGATTACATCAAACAACACAACAGTACCCCAGCCATCTGACATAGGATGACACGAAGATAAAAGGAGAAACTTAGCCCAACTACAGCTCAAAACAAACGATAGATTGCCCGTGTTCTAGTTTAACATAAAGTACAAGGAGTTTAGAGTGGATCGCTTCAACAAAGAGTCCTTAATGGATTGCAATCCACAAGTAGCATCAGCATGAGTATCATATTCACGAATACCCACCCACATTACCTAGCTGACACCAAAACAGTCTGGATAGAGAGTATCTTCGAGAAGGAAGATCTTATTTTACTTAGTACAGACACTAGGATTCACAAATTTAACCAGTTAGCACAAGGAATGGGGAAGCAAATTTGTAGTAATCACACTTGCTTTGGACCAGGGTGAAACATACTAAGAGGAAATCTTGTCTCTTTCTTATCCTTCACTCTTTGTAACATGGAAAAACCCAGGTTGGTAAAAGAAGCAGTCATTCAGCAGCAAAAGAGGGGACCTAGTAGGAATGTGCATAACAAAAGTGTTACTCTTGTCAGCCCACAAAGTACAGCCACATACATATTGGGCGAAAAAGAAATCTGTTGTTTCTACTTACAATGGCGAGCATGGAGAACGACCACCATTCACGTAGTAAACGAACAAGTAGGAATCATAGTGTTGGCCGTTGATGAAATAGAAGCCTAGCAACCTTCGTATACACCTGAATGACATTTTTTTATACAACTGGATTGCAGCAATGTTGTACGAAATCACATGCAAGTATATTGCACGGCATGTTCGAACACTTGAAGCATATCGAATGACCTCAAGGATAAGAGAAGATGCTGCAACAGAATGAAGTGGATCATAATGCAAGATAGAATGCATCATAGTTCGTATTTAGAGAAGAAAAAAATTCTACATATACCCGCATATGTCATATAATTCATGCCAGTATGAGAGAGAGTTCCTACCTACACCAAGATTCCTGTAGGTATCAACTACTCCAAGTGTCAAAATGTAGAGTAACGTTTGATCAGGTCTAGAGGAGTCAAATCTTAGTAAATCTCCGATCTGCAAGGCCCATGAAGTTTAACTGAATTCCAAGCTCAAAAGATCAAAACAATTAAATAATTAAGACAATTTCTCACTTCAAGAATGAAGGAAACAAACTTTAGATAGAGTCCTGTATCTCTCAACAAATGTTCTATTTATACATACAAGGATACGAATTATAGCAGTAGTTCAAGCGAACTTTCCGTTTACGGAAATCCAGGTCCTAATATAAGTTTAAGCAAGCAAGTTTAATACATTCCAAGAAGCTCTATAAAAGACATCCAAAACATATTTAGCTCAGACACTTGATGTCTCATTACAAAACAAATGCAACATTTTTTTTAATCCAACACCAGAATAACAACAAATCCCTAATCTAGAAAATTTTCATCTCTCCCAAGTAGGTGTGAGACATGTAAACTGAAGTTATTTTTTTCAGCTTACTCGACTTTAGTGGCCCTATCTTTTATTGCATGATAAACAAATACATTTCAAAAACAGAACATTAAATCAGTGCATCCATCAAATATGCCGACATTTAAACATACCCTCAAGGACGTAGAAGACCCACCTCGCTTTCTTTTGCCAACACTATCCTTGCAGTAACAAATCCTATAAGTTCATCCCCATTACCATTGGTCCGTCCACGGTCAATGGCTGCCCAGGACACAATACCATTTCCATTGACAACATGTTGGAAAAACTCAGGCTCATACCTAAAGAAAGACAAAACATTTTGATAAGTGCGAAATTCAGCATGAAGAACAGAGGAAAAGTTTAAGAGTAGAGCGAGACGGTGAAGCTATTCACCTAATAGGAAATACTTCAGTGTGCAGTTGCTCTAAAATCTCCAAATCAGAAGGCAGTATAGCCCTGAAGCATATGCTCGGACGGTGGGAGATCTTAGGCCTTCCCATTTCTGCTCTATTTCTCAATCACCAGCAAAGACAAAGCAAATTTGCAAACTTTCTGCAACGACTTCCATTTAGGCCACATCATCCATGATCTCCATGGGGATTGCGAGGAACTGAGAAAACACCCCTCAGTAAGTGATTGTATAAGCATAGTTGCAGGCAGGAATCGAAAGAAAGAAACTTTAGAAAGCACAAACCACCAACGGGTATAAGGTTATCCGGTTTCTAATGTCGAATACATGAACACCTAAAAGAACATACCCTTTCTACCAAAAAAAAAAAAAAAAAGAACATACCCATTACGCAGAGTGGGATGAAGAAGCTTGAAGATCAAGCAAACACTAAATGCATTTATCCATTGGTGGCATTGAGGCTAACCCCAACAAATACTGTGAAAGAGTTTCCAGATGACAAGTTTCGAAAATACTAAAATTCCAATAAAAAAGCTTCAAACTTTGTTCAGTCAGAAGCGATGAACTGATATTGGAAGATATTTTCAAACTTCAAAGTAGTAAAGCAAAGCCATAATTCGATGGAAGTCCCTTCTGTCACAACGAGGAAAAACCCACCAACCCGCAATCGATTTCAATCATACTCCATTGAGAAGAAGATCATACCAGGGGTTAATCGGAGAAGGACAGAGGTCGATCACTCGATGTTGATGCCTTCCTCTTCTTAAGTCGACGGTGAAGCAAGCGGCGTGGCTTGCAAGTTGAGAATTGGAACTGGACAGCTGAGGGAGTGAGCCAATCGGGTTTTCCCAGCTTCAATATTCCTTCTGATGATCTCAGACTTCCTTCCTCGCTATCTCCCCTGATTTTGTCGAGGTTTCTATCTGGTTTTGCTCGTTTCCTCTTCCAGCCTTCAACTTCCCCCTTAATTTCACTTTTGGGCTCTGGCATATCTATCAGCCTATTTGGGCCTCCACCACGATGACACTAAAATTAGTTCGTGTTTAAAAGGGTTAATTGCAAGGTTGGTCACTGGAATTACAAAAAACGTTCATGTTTAGTCACTACAAATATTTAATTCTATTCGTGATCACTATAATTAATCAAACAATCCAAGTTTGGTCACTCTCCGTTACCTACCGTTAGTCTCCGTTAACGCCATCAGATTTTTGCTTATGTGGCTAACGGAAATGCCTAGTCATCCAATTTTAACAAATAAAAAATAAAATAAAAACCTCCACGTGAGTAAGCAGCCACATCAGATAACCGAACCCGCCCAACCCCACTATTGACCCAACTCAAAACTCGGCATAATTTTTACCAACAGACCCCTCCCTGCGGGAAGGAAGCTAGCTCCGGTCGTCTCTTCATCATCTCGCGAGGAGGGTTCTTGCGGCGACCTCCAATCTGCCATTGTTGTTGATTGCTAGCGAGTAGAATGAAAGCGATGAGTGAAGCCTTGAAAAGAGACTACCAAATCTGCGAGGAGATCGACCGGGGACGCTTCTGCGTCGTCCTCAAGTGCATCTCCTTCATCGCAGGCTCCCACAACAATTGACCCACACCCTCACTCTCGACCGACCCCAAGCTCCTGCACCTCTTTTCCCCAAATCCTCACCTCGTCTAACTCCACGCCGACTACGAAGACGATTCCCATCTCCACATGGTCACCAAAATATGCTCTAAATTCGATTTCCACTCTCTAATCCTCGCCAGCGGCGGCGCGCGAAGCACGAAGTCAGATCCATTTTCACCGAACTCATGGTCGCCGTCTCCTACTGCAATTAACCTTCCTCCCCTTCCTAGAACAGAGCAACCGCAGTCCCTCCATCCCCTTTCTCCTCGTGCAAAATCCAATTTTTGAATCACCACGGGGGTAGAGGAAACAAAAACGCAACTCTCGCTCTGCCATCCCTTGTTACTTCCGCGGGTTGTAGCTCCTTCCGTCGATTTCATTCAGCGACACCAGAAGGTGGAGAAGAAATGGAGTGGGTTTGGTGGGACAGAGGTTGTTCAAGGCAAGGACGAAGAAGAAGCCACCGTCGGAGAGGTGGCGTCGCGTGGAAATCTGATTTGCGGTTTGGGAATCTGCCGATTAGAGATTTTATTCCAGCTGGGTCATTTAGAGAAAGAAGAGGAAGGGTCGGGTCAAGGGTTGGCTTGGATTGGGTTGGGTAACTTATGTTTGATTAACTAAAATGACGTGGCAGGTGGATTTTTGTTTTTTCCTTCTTTAAAATTAGCTGATTAGGCACTTCTGTTAGCCACATCAGCAAAAAAACTGACGGCATTAACGGAAACTAACAGAAGGTAACGGAGAGTGACCAAACTTGGACGGTTTAATTAGTTATAGTGACCACGAATGGAATTAATTAGTTGTAGTGACTAAACATGAATGTTTTTTTGTAATCCCAGTGACCAATCTTGCAATTAACCCTGTTTAAAATGACAAAATTAATATTTTTTTGATAGCTACAAAATTGATATCTTATATCAATTCATAATTGCTTGATGCAATCTATTAATTATGTTGTTGTCATTTAGATGAATAGAATCAGTTGCATGAGTGTATCCGGGATGCAATTCTCCCTAAGATGATCAATATGAATGCCCTTACGACTTATGATAGTGTCGTAAGCTATACATCGTCAAATTGAGTAATAAAGTAGAGTGGTCTGATTTTATATGAAAAATTTGTAGCTCATTAAAGATAAATTGGAAATTTATGGTCAAAAGTGATGATACTAGATGTGTTTTTGTGTGTCGGTTTGGAAAAAAAAACATGAAAAGGGGTTTATACAATATATTATCAATAAAATTGTACATATCTCGAATGTAATATGAAAACAACTTCTCTGCAAATTATTCAGATGAAACATTTAATGATCGCGATCACGATCGTTTCGAGTGTAAAAGATAGCCGACCAAACATCTTTTGAAATTATCATCTTGTTCTTATTTATTATCTCTTGTGATATAGTCTAGCAACCAGCAAAGTCATTTCTTGTTATTGCTGAGCTTCAGCTTCTGGATCCAGTAACTAATGGTTTTCTCCTTCCAAGTTCCATCTTCAAGGTAGGTCTCGTCAAATGTAACTTCTCCATTTCTCCCCACAGACAGAGCAATGGTGCTCCTTGTGCCACACCGTCCCTGAAACCCACGTGGAATTAGTTGTGGGGAATTTCAGAGTCTGCCAACTTAAGACTCCATAACAACTTTACCAGCGGGGTGTCAACTTCCACAAAAATGGAGCTTAAACCCAACTCCCATTCCACATCACAAATGCCAGGCAGCCTGTTCTCGTCGGCTTTCACTCTGTCCCTCATTAGCTTCTTCGCCATCTCTTTCAGATCAACTTCCCCTTCTCCATAATTCAATAGCTGTTCTTTGAAGCCCATCCCCAGCTTCAGCGCCTGTAATTGGCATTGGTTCTGCAGTCAATCCCATGGACTTGAATGGAGAAGGGGAGACAGAAGGAAGAACAAAACCTTGGGCCAGGGCGAGTCGAGTTTCTCATTGGAGAGGACATGGAGGCCGGGGGAAACGTCCCGGACCACCACAGCATCGCCTTCTGGTCTATTGGAGATATACACCATGGTGTTCGACGAAATGTCTGAGAGAATCAGGTTGAACCCGTTGTAGAGGTGAGCCTCCTTCGCCACTCCCTCTGCAAACTCCCTTGGACTCTTGCAGCTCTATCAAGGCAAATACGATTTAGGTACTCAGTGAAGGGTATTACAAGTTGTTGAGAGAGGTTCAGTTGTGAATCATTAACACGCTTTTTTTAATGAAAACCATCATATATATTGGGTTCATATATGGTATTAGAGCCTTTTGTAATCGAGAGGTCGTCTATTCCAATTTTTGTGACCTTCATTGGTAAGCACCTAATGCCTGATACCTGTCCAAACTTCAAACTCATATAAATGGTTTTCATTTGAGGAGACGTGTTAGTATGTAATATAAAATCCACTTATGAATCTCTCCAAACAACTCGAGTTACTGTGAGCGAATTTTCCCCGACATATACACCTCAACATTTGACTGGACACACCATGATCGATGAAATTTTACCTGCAGGAAAAGAACAGGGAGCTCCCCACGGGTTTTGGCGTCAGGGTCAGGATGAAGCTCTAGAACATTGGTGAGAAATGCCACTTTCCCTCCTCTTGAACAGGCCAGCCATGTCCCTCCTGCCATATCATCCCTCCCGCCTAGAACATTCATTTCCTCGCTTCCTCCCCACCACTCCACTGGTCTTGTTGGCCTGCAATAACCCATGATCAACTAGTTAAAGGTATTCATCTCTTTTACTGACAAACTCATAAGAGCAGAGCAGAGCAGGGTCAGTATGCTTCAGTCTGATAAATCAATCATTTGCCTGCTGTGGTATTCATCTCTGTTGTGCAAGAGCAGCAAAGGGTAGAGCGGGTGACCTTGCCACAGGAAAGCAGCTATGCACATTGCTTGTAAGGAGAGGCGATTTGCAGACAACTACACAGAGAGAGAGAGAGAGAGAGAGAGAGAGAGAGAGAGAGAGAGAGAGAGAGAGAGAGAGAGAGAGAGAGAGAGAGAGAGAGAGAGAGCTTGAATTCTTGAAGTAGAGTCTCTAACTTGATTCGCAGACAACTAGAAGAGAAGAGAATGCGGCATTTTATCCTTCTTAGAAATTGCTTGGATTTTGGATGCATAGTTTGGGAGCTCTTTCCAAAGTGAGGCAACTTTGGGATGAGTACTAAGACCGGTAAAATTGCCAAATGCTAATAAATTGACGGCGAGTTTCTGGTTTTTAATTTACCAAGCTTGATAATGAACTTTAAACAAGAAAGAAAAACTTCTTGATGAAGTCATAGGAGGCTGACCTTGTTCACACTTCACATTGTTCAAAGGGAACGGATAAAATGTTAGTACCATGTAATATAAATCATTAAAGGTATTTTGGTAATTGCAGTTATCGTATCAGTCAAAATACAAGTCAAACCTATCCTCCCTCATTTTCTTTCAAACCGAAAACTTAGGGCCCGTTTAGTATTGTTGCTTGTTTTTGTTTCCTGTTGTGTTTTACGAAATTTGGAAAACCAAGAAAAAAAATCGTGTTTAGTTGGGTTTTTATTTTTTGTTGTGAATCAGAGTTGCACAACAAGGCCCAAATATGAGAAACAACAATTTATAGCTTTGGATCTGATTTTTAAACATGTTGCACACGGGATTCCTACTGGTTGTGCGCTTGATTTCATTAAAAGAGACCAGTTTTCGAATCCCCACAGAAGCAAATTTTTTTTTTTTTTTTACATATCTGCCCCCTCCCAAAACCCTACTTCAGCCGCCCTTTTACCATTTTCCATCTTCTTTGTCGAGACTCATCAGCCGCCCAAGTTTCTTCTTCTCCGCAAGAACGTCCGACTCCGGCCAGCGGCGCCTCCGCCTCCGGCCCGCGCAGCCAGCCGCTCGCCTCCGCCCAGCCCAGCCGCGCGCCTCCTCCCAGCTCAGCGCCGCCAGCCGCGCGCCTCCGCCGGCCACCGATCATCTCCCCGCAGCAGGTAAAACAAACCATTTATTAAATGTATTATGTTAATATTGTTGCTTCTTAATATGTTCTTGAATTATGGTATGTATGTAGTGATTGCTAGACTAGTTATTTGTGAATTTGGATTGATTGCTATGTTCTTTGTGAATTTCGATTGATTGCTATGTTCTTTGTTTTGTGGTTTATTAAATGTATTATGTTAATTTCGGTTGCGGACATATTTCTTTTTCTGGTTTTTAGTTCTTATAGTAGTAACTAAACGCGTTTTTGTTTCTTGTTGTCAGCTTTCATGATTTTTCAGATTTATCAACTAAACAGGTTTGTGTTTTCTGTTTTTTTCCTGTTGTAGTTGTACATCTGTTTACAAAACACCACTGCAACCACAACAGCAACAAAATGATACTAAACGGGGTTACTAACTTTGAGTTTTCTAGTTTGCGTTAGAAATTTTTTCTATTTGTGAATTTTGTGTTGTGGTTCGTCTTTATTTGTTTTCTAGTATATTTCATAAAATTTGTGATCAGATTTATGAGGTTTATGGTGTATTTTATAAGTTTGTTGTGTGTTTTATATTGTTTGGACTAGTTTATGAGATTTTTTGTCTACATTATGAGTTTATGATGTGACTTTCGTATTTTAGGCTTGGTCTGATTTTTTTATGTTTTGCATCATGATACTTGTGGTGAGCTTCATGAGTTTTTTGGTATGCGTCAGAAAACTTATGATCTACTTATGAAAATAGAAACAACCAACTGCAATCTCCAGTACCGACCTTGATGTTGCTCTTTGTCACCTCTGGGATATCCAATTGTAGCGCCACAACAATTCCTTCCAATATTGAAATATGGAAATAAAATAATATCTTGTGTGATTCAACAATAGGCACACAACCGCTTCTCGTCGATTGTTGGTGCGATCTCCACTACAGTTGTCGCTCTACTACTTCTCAGCCGACACTCGGGTTAGCAATGTGGACAGAGAGGGATTGTAAACAGGAGGAAAATAGATGTTATGTAAGATTTTAACTTTTCAGATTGACTAGTGCATTCCTACCTCTAAAATCAACATTAAATTGTGGTCAATCCATTAAACATAGAAATTCAGTCAATAGTGGTTTACTATTGAATGGAATTAGTATTAGCATTATGATAACAAATTAGGTATTATTGTTGGAAATGAATAGTTTTGAAAGCTATAAGTCTCAAAGGAAAAACTACCACATTGGTAGTTTTACTCTTATGATATGTGTATAAGAATATGATCCTCTCTCCTAAGGGAATGCCCTTGGGGTGACTCACTTTTGTGGGAGAGGGAGGACCTAACGGACCACCACACACACACACGCCGCCCGCCCGCCCGACCGGTTGGTTGGGTGGGTCTTGATTGAGACTAATATTTTTTATAGAAATTCTGAAATTAATTATTAATTAATTAATTATGACTTGATTATCATGTATCCTTAACAGATACGAAGATAATCATTCAAAAGGAATATTCGAGGGATAATTATGCCAGAAATTATCTTATAGACGCGTTTTAATTAAGAAAGTAATTATCTTCCTTAATTAATCCGACTTATTCCCCAAGTAAGAGGGTATATTCCTAGGGGTTCGGCTCCTATAAATAGCCGCCTCCCCAGCCCCTCTAAACACACCACAATACGAGCATAAACACAATAGAGAGAGTGTTCATAGAGCTCCGGTTTTCACCAAAAAACGCCGAGCATACGAGAGGAGTTGTTTTATCATGGAGACGACCGGTTGATAGTTGTCGTGCGCATCGAGGGAAGTGCCGCAAACGTCTTAAAGAAAGCGACCTAGTCCGCGACTCAGCTCTAGATTCGGTAACCCCGTTCCTTGTTTTTGTTCCGTTCCTAACAATTTTAAGACGTTCGGCTGCTGCTATGTCGACTGAACAAAACAACATGGCTGGATCTGGCGTTGTCGATATCAATCAACCTTTCCGCTTCGTTTGAGTCAACTTCCGTCGATGGAGACAAAAGATGGAGGTATACCTGACGACCAAGAAGTTGGCACACTGCTCACCAGCATGCCCGTTGAGCTGTTGGAAGAAGTGATCGATGAGGAGATGGCTGCTTCTGCTAAGGAGAGGGATCATGACTTCCTGTGCAAGGGCTACATCCTCAACGGCCTAGTGGATGACCTCTACGACTATTATGCGAACAAAAAGAATACCACAATGATGGTCTGAGATGCGTTCCAAAAGAAGTACGACACAAAGGAGGCTGGAGATAAGAAGTATGCTGTCAGCCGCTACCTGCGCTACCAGATGATGGATGACAAGTCCGTCGAAGTTCAATCCCACGAACTTCATAAAATAGCTCATGAGATCGTCTCGGAGGGTATGCCTCTAGAAGATCAGTTTCAAGTTGCTTGCATTGTTGATAAGTTGCCCCCTTCGTGGAAAGATTTTAAGAATATGCTTAGATATAAAACTAAAGAATTTTCACTAGAAAGCGGAAGAGTCTCGCAAGCAGGATATGAAAGAAGAGGTGATGGTCGTCACTGCTACATGACCCACCCTTAGAGCTCTAAACCTAACCATAAAGGTTTCCAGAGTAAGAACCAACAGTTCCGCCCCAACTAGAATGGTGCCTCTCAAGGTAACCAAAGGGTCACGACCCAACCCTCTAAGAATGACCCACCGTTTATCTGCTATAACTGCGGTAAACCGGGTCATATGGCACAAAAATGTCGGAACAAACCTAACCCTGCTGCTGCTATCAGGGTTAACTTGACAGAAGAGTACTTGATAGCCATGATCACAAATATGATCGCTGAAGTCAACCTCACCGGTGACTCAGAAGGATGGTGGCTGGATACAGGTGCATCGAAGCATGTATGTAACAATCGTGCTATGTTTAAAACATACACAGAAGCACCTGCTGACAAGAAAGTGTTGTTGGGGACCGCCCACACCACTATGGTTGCTGGTTCTGGTGAAGTGGAGTTGAACTTCACCTCTGGGAAGAAGATGGTGCTCAAGGATGTGTTGCACACTCCATAGATAAGGAAGAATCTTGTTTCGGGATATCTTCTTAATAAGACTGGTTTTAATCAATCTATTGGGGCAGACTTGTATACCCTTACTAAGAATGAGAGTTTTGTGGGAAAGGGATATGCATGTAATGGGATGTTCAAGTTGAATGTTGAAAGTATTAAGATGAATTCTTCAGTTTACATGGTGTGTGATTTGAATGTTTGACATGCTCGTCTTTTTCATGTGAACACATGAATTGTGAAGAATTTAAGCAAGCTAGGACATATCCCTAAACTCTCAATGAATGAATTTGATAAATGTGATTTATGTAGCCAAGCTAAGATAACGAAAACTCCCCATAATCTGTGAGTAGAAAATCAGAACCCCTAGATCTGATTCATTCTGATATTTGTGAACTAGATGGGACGTTAACTAGTTCTGGCAAGAGATACTTTATCACTTTCATAGATGATTGCTCTGATTATTGCTTTGTTTATTTGATGAAAAACAAAAGTGAAGCCCTTGATATGTTCAAGGTATTTGCGGTTGAATTTGAAAATCAGTGCAATCGAAAAATAAAACGACTTAGGAGTGATAGAGGATTAGAGTATGACTCTAATCCCTTCAAGGAATTCTATAGCTCACATGGTATCATTGATGAAACCAAGGCATCATATTCACCGGAAATGAATGGTAAAGCTTAGCGGAAAAATAGGACGTTTATAGAATTAGTTGTGGCTATTATTCTCAATTCTGGAGCTGTTTCTTCTTGGTGGAGTGATATTTTGTTGACGGTTTTCTATGTGCTAAATCGTCTTCCAAAAATAAATGGAAAAGAGTCACTCTATGAGATCTTGAAGAATAAGCCACCTAATCTGTCCTATTTAAGAACGTGGGGTTGTTTGGTCTACGTAAGAATTCCGGATCCTAAGAGGATTAAGTTGGCTAGTAGAGCATATGAATGTGTCTTCATTGGCTATGCTGCCAATAGTAAGGCATATAGATTCTATGATTTGAATGCTCATACTATAATAGAATCCATTGATGCTGATTTCTTTGAAACGCGATTTCCATTTAAAACGAGAAATAGTGGGGGGTAATGTACTACCTGCTATAAGAGATAACGGAACTAGTGGGGTGCTGGATCTAAGAATGAACTCAGAAGAAGTAAAAGAGCTGGAATCTCCAAAGATTTTGGTGATGACATTACTATAGTATACACCCTCGAAGATCCCAAAAGTTTGCAGGAAGCATTAACTTCCATAGATGGAGATTTTTGGAATGAGGCCATTATAGATGAAATGGAATCGTTGGAAGCTAATAAGACTTGGCATCTAACAGACTTACCTCCTGGCTGCAAAGTCTTAGGTAATAAATGGGTTCTAAAAACGAAAAGGAAACATGATGGTGCAATCAAAAGGTTCCGAGCTCGCCTAGTAGTGAAGGGCTACAGACAGAGAGAGAATATAGATTTCTTCGATACCTATTCACCAGTATCTAGAATAACATCCATTCGTGTAATGATTGCTCTTGCTGCCTTGAACAATCTCGTGGTACACCAAATGGATGTTAAAACTGCTTTTTTGGATGGTGATATGGATGAAGAAATCTATATGGAACAACCAGAATGGTTTGTTATCCCTGAACATGCCTCGAAGTATGTAAGTTAGACAAATCATTATATGGTTTGAAATAGGCTCCAAAACCGTGGCATGAGAAGTTTGATACTCTCGTTCTCTCACATGGCTTTAAGGTGAATGAAAGTGATAAATGTATTTACTGCGAGTTAGAGAATAATACTTGCACTATCATATGTTTGTATGTAGATGACATGTTGATATTTGGTACAAATATCCACGTGGTCAACGAAGCAAAAGCCATGTTGAAAGAGAGCTTTGAGGTGAAAGATCTAGGAGAAGCAAAGTTTATGCTTGGAATCCAGATAACTAGAACAACAAATGGTTATTATCTACATCAATCGAGCTACATAGAGAAGATCTTGAAGAAATATAACTATTTCGACTATAAACCTGCGTGTACTCTGTATGATGCTAGTGTAAAGCTACTTAAGAACACTGGGGACAGTGTAAGACAATCAGAATATGCTAGCATCATTGGCAGTCTCCGTTATGTTGCAGATTACACTCGACCGGACATTGCATATGTCAACGGATTGCTTGGCATGTTTAACAGCTGTCCTAGTAGAGAGCATTGGAATACTATAGAGAGGGTCATGAGATACCTTAAGAGAACAGCAAACCTTGGTATTCACTATCAAAGGTTCACTGCTGTACTAGAAGGGTATAGTGATGTGGATTGGAATACCCTATCAGATGACTCCAAGACAACCAGCGGGTATATTTTTAACATCGTTCGTGGAGCTGTGTCTTGGAAGTCTAAGAAACAAACAATCCTAGTTCAATCAACTATGAAATCAGAGATGATAGCACTAGCAACGGCTAGTGAAGAAGCGAGTTGGTTGAGAGGATTGTTGTCAGAGATTCCCCTATGGGAAAGGCCGGTCCCTCTGGTATTGATCCATTGTGATAGTACCGCAGCTATCGCTAAAGTTGAGAACCGGTTCTATAATGGAAAGAAACGACAGATTCGTCGTGAGCACAGTACTGTAAGAGAACTCCTAATGATAGGAGTAGTGAGGGTGGATCATATAAGATCCGAACAGAATCTAGCTGATCCTTTTACGAAAGGATTACCTAGAAAGAAAGTCCAGAATACCGCCAAGGGTATGGGACTTATGCATACCGAACCACAGACTACAAGTGATGGTAACCCAACCCAATAGACTGGAGATCCCAAGAAATGGGTTCAATGGGTAATAACAAGTCATGAGTAGTATGCGAAAAGTTCATGCATAGTAAAGCATGAATCCCAAAGCAATGGAGGTTGAGTTAACAACTTTTAGTGAGATGTATACCCTATGTAGGGTGAAGTACTTTACTTTAGGGGTACTTCTGATAGACTCACCTATGTGAATGTGGGAGTGGGGCCACTCCCAATGGAACTTTGGAGGCACAAAGTTGCTAGAGCATTCACTAAACCAGGATAACGTGCATGGCCATATACGCATGGGCTAAGAAGAGAACATAACTCAATGAAAAGATACGATGTGCTACACTGTCTGAGATAGACTTCAAGGCTACGAGTCATCCTTATGAAATCGGAAGTGTAACCACTACGCTAAGGTTCAAATATTCGCGATACCTTAGCTTATGCCCGATCTTATAGAACTGTTTGTGCTCAGAGATAGTTTCAAAACTATTCAAGTGGGGGATTGTTGGAAATGAATGAAAAATGAATAGCTTTGAAAACTATAAGTCTCAAAGGAAAAACTACCACATTGGTAGTTTTACTCTTATGATATGTGTATAAGAATAGGATCATTTCCCCTAAGGGAATTCCCCTTGGGTGACCCACTTTTGTGGGAGAGGGAGGACCTAATGGACCATCTCACACACACGCCCGCTCGCGCCGTCTGGCCGGTGGTTCGGTCGGTTGGGTGGGTGTTGATTGAGACAAATATTTTTTTATAGAAATTCTGAAATTAATTATTTAAAAGGAATATTCGAGGGATTATAGACGCGTTTTAATTAAGAAAGTAATTATTTTCCTTAATTAATCCGACTTATTTCTCAAGTAAGAGGGTATATTCCTAGGGGTTCGGCTCCTATAAATAGCTGCCTCCCCAGCCCTCTAAACACACCACAATACAAGAAGAAACACAATAGAGAGAGTGTTCATAGAGCTCTGGTTTTTGCACAAAACCGCCGAGCATACGAGAGGAGCTGTTTTATCCTGGAGACGACCGGTTGATAGTCTGTCGTGCGCATCGAGGGCAGTGCTGCAAACGTCTTAAAGAAAGCGACCTAGTCCACGACTCAGCTCCAGATTCAGTAACCCCGTTCCTTGTTGTTGTTCCATTCCTAATAATTATCACTCTAATCCGGCCTACTTCCGATTTTTCATTTAAGAATGGTTCCAATTAATTGTAATTGACCATATGATTCGGGCCTAATTGTACATGTTTTGCCCCCGTTTTACTTAGGTGTTTGTGCCAAATTCACTCCTATAAGGTTGGTTTTACACTAGGTTCCTCGTGTTAGAGTGTGTTTCAGGATTTAACAGGTGAAACCATCCTCGAAGTCGAAAGTTGGGCGAAAAGGATTGAAAACCGGGAGACGAGGTGAAAAAGGGCCAATTCACGGCTAACCAAGGAAGTTCACGGTCTTGCATAACCGTGAAGAAGAGCCCCTGATCGTGAATCGCGAGGCGTCCAGAGCCAACATGGAGGTTACTGACGCAAGGTGAGTTTACGGTCACTAAGACCGTGAACTAAGGTTGTTGACCGTGAACAGAAGAGATCGACGCGGTGCGTTTTGGCGCACGCCTGCAGTTCACGGAAGCGTTTCTTGGTTCACGGCCGTCAACTCAGCTCGTCTCTGGTTTAAAAGATGAGCTGAAAGGAGGAGAGAGGGGAGAGCCCATTTTGTGTGATAAGCCTACTTCAGCATTCTAGAGAGATAAACACAAACCAAAGGGAGAAGAAGGCTAGGGTTTTGCTTCAAGGCAGATTCTGTGAAGATTTCCTCCAAGGAAAGCTCAACTCAAGGGCCAAGAAGACTGGGAGCATCTTCCAAGATGGTTTCCACCTCTTTCCCTTTTGTTTTTCCCACTTCTAGCATGGAGTATACCTCATTTCACTTGGGTGTTGTGAAACCCTAACTCTACCATGTAGTTTTCATTTATGTGTATTGGATGGTTGTAATTGAGTATTGTTCCATTCAATGATTGAGGCATTATTTATCATGATTGTGCATGCTTGTGCTTAGCAACTTGGGGGTTGTGCATGATTGTGCTTAGCACCCTTAGGTTTGTGCATGTTGGTGCTAGCAATCTAATTAGCCACCTAAGCCTAGCTTAGAGAGGAAAATCCCCCTTTCCAGGGAGTCTCAATCGAGTTGGTTTTCCTTCCGCTTTCTAAGCCACCTAAACTAGGTTAAGTTAGGGCAACCCTCAAAATCGAGTTAAGCAAATCGGTTCATCGCGATTAAACCATCCGACCTTAGAGTTGAGTGAGGGAGTAAGTCAACTACCGATTGTGTAAACCGAGAGGGTTGAGTGACAAGGCCTTTCATGATTACCTCGGTTTAGCAATTGAGATTGTGGTCTCCGACTATATATGCATCCCTCTGCAGTCTGGGGTGACCATGCCCAAAGCAATCGTTCCAATTCGCATAGCATGGTAGCAGTTAGGGGGAAGCAACACCCGAGTGATGCTTCCACAAAAGAGTTTTCAAAATCAATTACCTTTGATTTCTTTTATTTCAATTAGCAAACCTTTAAACCAAAAATTTGTTGCTAGATAATGATTTCAACAACTGAATAGGGGTAGACGGACCATCCCGGGTCGATATCTAAATACTTGCCCTATACTGTACCCGACTAAAGTTTAAAAACTTGGGCTCTAGTTGGGATTTTATTGTGGTGTAGTTTCGTGGGATTCACCATATTCATATGTAATGAGGGTTATATAATTGTAATTGACCATATGTAAGTAGGGTTAATTACAATATAAGTAACGTGCTAGGGTTGTCTGTCCTCCACGGTATATATGGTGATGTGTAGAGCTAAAGAAGGTAGCATGGATGTTAACGGGACGGTTCGTGATGGACAGTGCATATATGTTATTTTATTTTAATTAATTTGGATTTTTATTCATATCTAAACTCGTACAAGATTCTTGTAGTAAATCTAAACCATGCTCATGTTACGAACAAGTCTTGGCCTAGTGCTAATACCGAGGGCTGCAAATGAGGCGAGCGGCTCGGTGCTCGACTCTGGAAAAGCTCGTTCGAGACTCAACTCGTTTATTAACTAGCCGAGCATGAGCTAAGCCTTGTTCAGCTCGTGAAGCTCACGAGCTAGCTCGACTCGGTGACTTGTTGAGTGATAATGATGTATTTGCACATGTTTGCACCCTTAGTTCGTATCCGTTTGCGGCTCATAGTCGTGCATCTTTGTCCTATTTTACGCTGGGTTGTGCTACTTTGTCACATTTCAGGTCCCAGACGTCGAAGGGAAGGCTAGGCACGAGTTTCGGGGCTTTTGGAGGTCATTTGGTCGAGCTGGGGTCAAAACACGGGCAGAAGGCCTGAAGAGCACGGCTGTGTACATAAATGAGCACGCTAGTGTTTTTTAGTGCGAGAGTTGAATCGATGAAGAAGCAAAATACGGGATGCACTAAAGAAAAACACGGTCGTGGCTCAGACCGTGCTTTTTATGCCGAGAGTGTGTTTTTGGAGGCTCCTGAGAAGTCCAAACACGGGCACCACTAGAGTAAAACACGGTCGTGTCAATTAGTGGGCATGACCGTGTTTTAGGCTGACGCGAGCGTGTTTTCAACACGTGGCGAGAACACGGACGGGAAAAGAAAAACATGATCGTGTCCTCGACCGTGTTTTTCCCAGAATCGGGCTTTTGAGGAAGATTCAAGCCAAAGGAAAGGGAATCGAGTTTTGAGCAAAAAACCGACCTTTAGAGAGAGAAAGTGCGAAGAACAAACCCTAAGAGCTGTTTGGAGTGGATTTCTCACCATTGAAGCCCATATTGCATCCCAGGAGTGAAGATCGAAATCCCAAAGGAGATTATCCCCATCTTTATGAGTATGACTGCTCTGATTTATGTTTTCCACTCTCTCTCTCTATGGAGTAGAACCCTCTCTCACTTGGGTATGAAGAACCCTAGTTCCATGTGTTAGGAATCTTGGTTGTAATGACTTTGGATTGATATACTGATTGATTTTAATCGATTGATGCATGATTCATTGAATCAATTGAAGCCTGGTCATCTTTTCTTGATTTTTGCTGCAACCTGAGATAGATAGAATCTAATTAGGTTGTTAGAGCTACATCAATCGGTAGTAGTAGATTGGTTATACGAGAGTTAATTGATTTACTGCTTTGTACTGGAATCCAATTCTAGTAGTGGAGTTCTGTGTTTATTGCCTCAGCAGTCTATCCCGGTGAAGGCTAGTCGCCTGCCGGTTAGTCTGTCTGAGAGGGCTTGGTCAGCTTAAGAGATTCCAAGCTACTGTCGGATCTTCCACAGTCTAATCAACGGTAAATCAACCAAAGGTAATTACAACTTTGACCTAATTAAGGAGCTAGGGGGACTCATTCCCGATTGACTCTTCCCTTGCTAAAGAACTTCGAACCATTTCCTGCTTTCTTACTGCTTTTGCTTTAATCACAATCACTCGACTTAGTTTGCTAGATAATAGATAGTCACGGAGTAAGCAGTAGATCTGGACCCCGGGTTGACAAATAGAGTTTGCCACTAGTCTGCATTTTCGGACTGCGATTACACTTGGTCGCAGTTTGGTGTTGTGTTTTAGCGTGTCATTGAGCTAAACTCGTGAGCTAGCTCGTTTAGAGCTTATGAGATGTCTTGCAATGTGGCTAGAGAGCCAACTTGGTTACCGACTTATGGGCGAATTGATCTCTATCTTATGAGTCCAGTTCATATGATTGTTAAATTATAAATCTCACCCTATATGAAATTTAACACACTAAGTGTGAACAAATATATATTATTTTTTTATTTTAAAAAGAGATTTTATTTCATAGATTGCTTCTATACTGTTAAATAACATGATTTGGACTAGTTAAAATTTATTAACTACATAATACCGACAAATTATAATATGAGATTAGTTAATATGATCATTTGACTACTATTATTTTTTCCATCATGACATCAATCACATGTATCATACATGACATTCAAAATTAAATATCAAATACGACTCAAGATTTTAGTAAACAAGCCTAACTTGAGCTTGACTTGACTCGCTCGTTAATAAATGGCTCGAGCTCAAGCTCAACTCGTCTATTAACGAGTCATGCTCAAGCTAGGGTAAAGCTCGACTCGACTCATTTGCAATCCTAAATTACCACTAGTCTAGAACCTAGAGGTACCAGGTTCAAATCTAGGGATGGCAACAAAATCCGAACCCACGGGCTCCCACCCGACCCAACCCGGTCAACGTGGGTAACACTCATGTTGACGGGTTTTAGGCCGGGTTCGGGTTTAAACCCGCTACACTATTCACTGGGTCGGGTTGGGTTTGGGTTTAGGTAAACCCGCCCCATGGGTACCCGCCCACACACATATAATTACTTTCCCGGTATATTTAATACTCTAAATAATATATCTTCCTTAAACAATTAATATTCTTTATGTTTGTGGAGACATATATAATTTTTTGTTTCTAATTGTTTAGAATGAAGTTGATATTATGAAGTGGAGAGTGAAGAAACTTAGTTGACGAGTAAGAAGCTTTCAATTAATCTTATTGTTTATAGATGTTTATCTTTAATTTTGAACAATTTGTATTGATAATTTGTGGTTTGCTTGTATGCTCTAGATTGGTGTTTTTTGTATGAATAATTTGTATGAGAAAATTAATGTTAAACTTTTATTTTGAAAGAAACTTGTTATTGTAAATTTTTTACCACAAAAACCCACGGGTATCCATGAACCCGCGGATACCCAGCGGGTTGGGTTGGGTTTGAGTTTTTCAAACCCAGCGGGTTTTACCCTGGTTTTTTTGGCGGATAAACCCATGGGTTTGGGTTTGACAAAACCCGACCCATTGCCATCCCTATTCAAATCCCTTAAGTAGTACCTTAATAACAACAAAATTAAACTTATATCACCCTTACAAAAAATAAAATAAATAAACCATGATCATAGTTGTTCGGGATTAGTTATTCGTGAATATCCACGGATAATAGTTTTTCTTTATCATTTCATCTAATGTGTTACTATTTTTGAGTATATTCGCATTATAAATATTACAAATTTACAATAGTAGGCCATCATTCTTAAGAGAAATAATAAAAAGAGTGAGAATTCAGGACTTTTTCCAGAAATAGCATTGTTTAAAAAAAAATTACAAAAATATCACCCAACCCCAAAAAATTCCAAAAATACCACCCTTTTCCGAAACCGCCACCCCACCCTGCCGTTTACATGAAAACCGCTGGGTGGGGGGCGCGGTTTGCTACCTCGAACGAGCTTTTTTATGATTTTGTCAAATTTTGGACGACCATAACTTTGTGCTCCAAAATCCGAACGTCACAAACTTTTTTTTAATTCAGCATAACTTTTTAAGATCTACAAGTTTTACTAGGATGAAATTTTCAAAACAGGAATTAGTTTTGGATATACGGGATCTTGGGAATAACTTTACTTTTACTTTTTCCAAATCCATGTACATTCCGAAATTATGGCTATGATAAAAGTTGTAGTAATTGAAAAGTTATGCGGAATAAAAAAAAATTATGGCATTCGGATTTTGAAGCATAAAGTTATGGCAGTCCAAAGTTATTGAGGATTTTTAGCGTTCAAGGATTAAAATGTTGTCAATGTGTAATTGTTTCAAAAGTGGAGTTTTAGTGTGGTGGTTGAGATGTTCTGCTTAATTTAGTTAACTATTTAGTGTATCTGGGTTCGAACCACCACTATTACTTTTTTTGAATCTCTACTAAATAAAAAGATTTAATATGGAATAATGGTGATTCAAACCTAAGACCTCTTGCAAACAAGGAAACAACTAAACCAATTGTGCCAAGACAACTTATGAGATTTATATGGACAATATATATATATATATATATATATATATATATATATATATATATATATATATATATATATATATATATCAAGGTTTTCAAACCGGTTTGGCAAATGGAATGGTACGACCGGTGGTATAACCAGTTTGTGACGGTTCATGCCGGTTTAAAAAAAATGTGAAAACAATTAATATCACATGTATTTAATCATATATAAAACATATTTGTGGACAATTTAGTTACAATCCAACAAATATCATCAACTTTTAACTATTACATTCATAAAATGAATAATAAATTAATTTTTTTATTCATTAAACTCATTAAAATGATGTTATTTTACTTAGAATGCGTAAGCCGATCATACCGGTCATACCGGTGGTGTCATGCCGGTTTCATGATCGACACAGGTTGAACCAGGTTCAACCGGGTGGCATGCCACCGGCGTGACAACCATGATATATATATACTGCAAACCGCCGGGTGGGGTGCGGTTTTCAACAAAATCATCCCGGCCCATGCGGTTCATAAACCGCCCCTTACCCGTGGGGTTTTCATCGAAAACCGCACCCCACCCAGCGGTACTTTAAACAGTGGTACTTTTGGATTTTTCTCGAGAATTCATTGAGACGTCGAATAATTTGAGAGAGAAATGATGTTCTATAATAAAATATACATATGCATTTATAATCGGGCAGATTCAGGTTGGATAGTAAGAAAACTATACTCGCCCCTACTCATCATATTGAGTTTCGAATTCTAACTATACAAACAAATAATTGATTTAGTTTGGAATTTACCCTCAATTGGAACTCCGGCTCACTAACCGGACAACAAAATCCCATAACTTCATGTTAACCAAGATAATTTGTTTTCAGATCATAGCAACGTATATCCGAAAACATTCTTAGTGCATGTCCATCAACAAACCCAAATTGAATCTCACGTGACCATTACCTCCCTTCTTTTTGTTGGGACTTTTAGGGAATGAGGGTAGATAGCTTGATACCGTGATTAGGATTATAATAGAGTCGTGAATAACATTCAGTTTCCGAAAAGAATATTTTCACCCTCCAGAAAACCTTGGGTTACAGGAAATTTCTCCAGAGAATAAAACTATCACTACTTTAAGTTGCAGGCTTATGAACACCGAAGAATACTTAAAAATTTAATAGGAAGAAAAATGATTTTTTTTGTGTATCTCTCCCACCATCCAAGCCACTCTATTTAGTATTTATAGTGGGAAAAGTGGGCCTTGAAGAATTGCAACCCTTCGTAATTGTCTAGTACATCCCCAAACATTGCAATCCATTGGAATACGTTTTAATTTGGCTTAACTGCCATCCAAAAATCGGCTCCGGAACATTGCATCACATGGGAAAGAAAAGAATACATAGCGCTGTTTCATATGGAACGTTGCCTTGTGGTGGAAATGGATAAGGCCAATGTTTCATTTGAAACATTTCCCAGGCTCGTTGTCAATTCAATGCAATTAATGGCCAATGCATTTCAAATTGAAACTTTCCTGATTTCAATTCATGCATACAAGGTAACTGTCCAAAATCAAGGGACATGTCCTTTGGTGAAACATTCAACATTCTTTTCACATATCCTTTGGTGAATCGTCATTACCAAATATACAATGGTACCAGTCCATTGGAACTTTGGTTCGACCAAATTCCAACATTCATCCATTTTAGTGTATTGAAAGAATCATAAAATTACAACTTTCTTCCAACAAAACTTAAGTATAAATGAAAATGTAGTGACGATTGATTCATCTTAGTATATTACACTTGACAAATATTCGAATACAAAGGGTGTCGGTAACAATTGAACCCATTGACTCATATGAATATTCGAAGATAATATACATTTAAGTTTTCAAAACTTCTAAGTGCCTTGACACTATTACCCGCCATGTGTCCAATCCTTCTCATAAGCGCACAAGAAACCAAAGTCCGGGTTTCTTGAAGCGGCTACACTCCATGCTTACGTAGGTTGAATCTCTTATTCGTGTACCCGCATAATACACTTTTTCAAAGATTCAATTAAGAAGTTTTGAACTTCATCCTCTTCTCTCATGCAGGATAACAAGCACATACCTCGGGATGACAAATTGTATACTTCAATTTCTGATAATAAGCTTTCCACATTGAATTCAGCCTCTAACGTTGTATTAGAGGGGAATTGGGTGTCCCATTATCAGAAATTATATGGACCATCCCTTCACAGACTTGACCACGAAGTCTCTAGCTAATCATTTCGTCAAATGAAACTAATTATTTCTAGTCCGGTCATATTTGTACATACACAAATCTATGAGTGATCTATTATAGATTTTACCGTGCATAACTCCTACAAGACCATACTTTTCATTTTACACTTGGCTATATGACTTAGCCAAAGTACTATTACTACAAAGAAGATAGTAATAAAATGGGATTTGTTTAGGCCATGAAAGAATATCATAAGCCAAATCGCTCAACCATCACACAATTTGACTCCATAGTAAAACCATTGATGTAAGTTTGCTTTTTAGAGGCCCAAGATATGACACCTCCTCCATGCAAGAGGACTCATCTCGATGTGGAAGTATCACCTTTAACATGAGAAATCCAACTAACATCAATAAATCCTTCCACTATAAGTCAATATAATGTGCCTGTTAGATATCCTGGTACACGCTCATTTCATGCCAAATGATGAGCACTTAGGATTACTCATACACCAACTTAATGGTCATACCCCATACGCAATATATGGTTTTATGCAAGTCATTTCATACATCAAGCACCCAATTAACATGTAATACTCTAGTTGTAAAAGTAGTTGGCCAGTATTAATCATAAGTTCCCTACTTGGATCCATTGGGGTCTTTAACTCACGATAATTCCTACTATGGAATTTTTGCAAG